CCTAAACAGAGCAGGATCTCCACCTTGTCTCAGTGTCCCCCTGACCTCCTCATGACTACGTGGTCCACTCAGGCTGGTCCCTAGTTTCCTGCCCCAGCTCTGTTTCTGACAATCCAGTGGACTCTGGACTCTGGCTGGGGGCAGCATCCTTTCCCACAGGCTGCTCACTTGCCTTGCTGCTGCCCATTCACGGGTCTTTCCCTCAGGAGGGCAGCAGGTGGAAAGATGACTGGAATGTCCACCCCCAGGGATGACGCACAACGTCAGGGCCTAGAGCTCCTCCAGGAATCCATCAGGGTCCTCCAGAAAGCACCTGTGCCAGTCAGTCATGGAAAAGGGTCATGTCCCACCCAGCACCTCCAGGAGAAGGCCATGTTGGCAGGCTTAGAAGCTGGGTCAGGAGGGGCCTCACTGCCCTGCAGGGCTAGTTCCTGGTAACGAGGCTGAGGAGAAGATAGTGGGAGGGGAAGGGGTGGAGAAGAGGGAGAGGGAGGCTCAGAATTTTTTCCAGGGCTTTCAAATGAAGGCTCTGGGATGCTGCTGGTCCTGCATTCTGAGCAATGGGTGCTCGAGGAAGCTGTTGGGAGCACCTAAAAATGAATCCTCCATGGTCTGAGCATGACACCTTACAAGCCCTGTGATTTCCGGTTTTGATATAGGGTCATAAAGGCTTGAATATGTGGGATCTCTGTCCATTTTTATTTCCCTTTACAGAATGAATCAAGTTGATGTGTTAAATCTGAGTCCCATTTTTAGGCCATATTTCTCCACTGACTAACACATATGAAGGCAAAGCTGAACCACAGAAGGAAATCAACTCCTTAAGCCCTCTGCCTTAAAATCATTCCATTACTTACTATGCTCCATGGGGTAAATTCTCAGCGACAGAGGCTGAATTACCCATAATCTTGTAATTTGCACACTTCAAGAGTTTTTTTCCTTGCATTTTTTTCTGGAAAGATACGGGAAAAAGGAAAGGATAATTTATGTCCACAAACTGGGTTTGGGGATCAGACAATTTTTGTCTATCCCATATTCCAGGATCCAAAAGGCTTAAACCTTTAAAGCAGAATTAGATAATATTAACCTGCCTCACTGCTGCCACCTACTGGCAGACATTGAAACCATCAAGGTGGAAATTTGGTTCCAGGTGACACTGGGGGTTTGAAAGTTACTGACAGGCGCCTACAGTCCCAGCAGCTCAGGATGCTGAGGCAGGAGGATCCCAGTTCAAAGCCAGCCTTGGAAATTTAAAGAGGCCTTAAGCAACTTAGTGAGACATTGACTTAAAAATTTTTTTAGGGCTGGGGTTGTGGCTCAGTGGTAGAACACTCGCCTCGCACATGAGAGGCCCTGGGTTCGATCCTCAGCACCACATAAATAAACAAAATAGAGATATTGTGTTCAATTACAACTAAAAAATAAATATTTAAAAAGACTTTTTAAAGGAAGGAGAGCTGGGCATGGTGGTGCATGCTATAATCCCAGCAGCTCAGGAGGCTGAGGCAGGAGGATCACAGGTTTGAAGTCAGCCTCAGCAATTTAGTGAGGCTGTAAGCAACCTAGTGAGACCCTGTCTCAAAATAAAATAAAAATAAAAAGGGCTGGGGATGTGGCTCAGTGATTGAGCCTTGGGTTCAATCCCTGTTACAGGACTGGATTACATAAAGGGAAGATCAGAGGTCAGTAATGTAGGAGATCTAGATTACAGGGATGGGCAAGAGCAGGCAATGCAAAGTGGATTCTTAGAAAACCCTGTTATGATCTTTATGCATGGGTGGAAGAACCAATCATCCATAAATAAATAGCAAAAGGAGGTCCAGCAGAAGAAGGAGAATGGGAGAGGGGAGGGAAAAGGCGGGGGGATCAGGAACTGAATCGAATTCCATGCATGTATGAGTTTGTCGGGATGAATCCAGCTACGTGTGACTATAAAGCTCTAATAAAAAACAAGCTTGGGGACTGGAGCTGGGGCTCAGTGGCAGAGCACTTGCCTAGCATGTGTGAAGCCCTGGGTTTAGTCCTCGGCAACACATAAAAATAACAAAATAAAGGTCTTGTGTCCATTTACAACTAAAAAAAAACAGGCTGGGATGTGTGTGCTCTGTGGCTGAGCACCCCTGGGTTCAATTCGATGCCTGATTTTTAAAAATAAATAAATAAACACCAGAGGCGGAGAGAATATCCTGAGATCTTAAATAGTCCAGGTGTGCTTGAATTTGTAATTTTTTGTGAGAAGTTATGATCCTTAAAACAACGCAGACACACAGACCTTGTAGCCCTTAGGAATATCTAAAGGCCTTCCAGGATGGGGTGGTCAGGTAAAATTCAGTAAAAACTGACTTACAGCAGATGCCTCTTCATGGCCAGGTCTGACGCAAAACAAACCACGTCAGTACTGCCACTGCGCTCCCCGAGGTGGAGCTGCCTTTCTTCCAATTACACAGTGCCAGTAAGGTGTGGGTCTGTCTTGACTAAGGTGGTCAAGGAGGACATTTTCTTTTAGAAATATATATATTTACATATACATACGTGTGTGTGTGTGCACGCATGTGTGTGGGTGGTGTATATATACACACAGGTACACAAACATCAGGGATCAAAACTGCAACAGGATCAGGTGTGGTGGCACACGCCTATAATCCCATCGGTTTGGGAGGCTGAGGCAGGAGGATCACAACTTCAAAGCCAGCCTCAGCAAATTAGTGAGACCCTATCTCAAAATGAAACATAAAAAGGGCTGGAGATGTGGCTTAAGCGCATGGGTAGGGTAAGTGTCCCTGGGTTCAAACCTCAGTACCAAAAACAAACAAGCAAAACTTGGGCAAATATTGTACAAAGAGAAGGTGAAAATTCACATGACTATCAGCATGATTTAGCAAAGCAGGGTTTGAGAATGCTTCCTCATTACCAGTAGCAGCTCAGGACAGACCAGTTTAACTGGAGCATGAAACACACGATTGTGCGTATCACAGAAGTACCTCAAGAGTACTGAGAATCCACCTTCAGAACTATCACAGCAGAAGCCTAAAGAGACTGGCAGTGAAAGTTGGGTTTGCATGTGGTGAATATCGGGGTTCACTCCCCTTGTTATCACCCCAAAAGTCATACCCTCACAGGATCTTGTTCTGAAGAATCTAGGTGGTCCTGGAAACACAGGCAGACCAATCCCTCATATTCACCTTCTGGAGAAGCAGACTTCCCTGTGACCAGGAGCAGGGCGTGTCAGGCCAAAGGCGTTTCATGAACAAACACATCTTTTAAGGGGAACAAAGGGCTTTGGCTGAGGAAAAGCGGAAGAGAGAGAGAGGGAGGGAGAAATGTCACCTATTTAAGTCTTACAGCACCTTGGATTAAAAGTGACTTTTTCTTTTGGTCTCAAAAGGATCTGAGAAGTGACACAAATTTTACATTCCAGCTGGACTGAGATAGCAGGCCTTCCAAGGACAGAGAGCTGAGAAACCCAACAGGTGAATAAGAGGGAAGAAACCAGGGAAGGATGCCAAAGACCACTGAGCCTTTCAGTTTTAGAGTTCAAACAGTCCTATCAGGTCCCAAGGATGGCATCAATCTTACCTAACTGCCACTTGAATCTACAGTTCAGGGATTTCCCATCACAAAAAAAGGGAGCCATGACATAGAGCTTCTTCTGGGCAGCCTTTAAAGTAAAGGGGGGCAGGGCTGGGGCTCAGGGGCCGTTTGCCTGGCATGGGAGAGGCCCTGGGTTCCATCCTCAGCACCGCATATAAACAAACAAAATAAAGCCCATTGACAACTAAAAAAATATTCTTTAAAAAGAAAGAAAGTAAAGGGAGCGAGGCTGGGGACACAGCTCAGTTGGTGGAGGGCTTGCGTGGCAGGCTCAAGGCCCTGGGTTGGGGGGGGGGGGAGTAAAGGGAGCAGAGGGAGAACTCTAAGGACAGGAGTTCACACCAGACACTTCCCACAGGATCCCGGGACCAGTGATGGAGAACGTCCACACGCACCAGAGACACAGACGAGGATCTATTTAGGAAAGCAAATACACATTCCAGGGAGAACACAGTGAGAGAGTGTTTTGGGGATCCAGCTCTTTTAGAGCAAACCTGGTGAAAAGTGGGTGTGAGAGGTGTGTAGGGATGTGGTCTCCACCATCTACTTCATAGCAAACGTGCAAACTCCCATGGACTACAGCTTTCTGAAAGTGACATCTCTTGGCAGAACCTATTTACCGGCGCGCCCAAGAACACTGACAAGGTGATTCCACGAGTGATTTCCCACGGACTTGGAAGGGACAGGCCTAGAAGAGTATCCCAACCCGTTTTGATACCGGGGATTGGACCCAGGGTTGCTTAACTACTGAGCCACATCCCCAGGACTTTCAAGTTTGATTTCGAGACAGGGTCCCTAAGTTGCAGAGGCTGGCTTTTCCTCGTGGTGCTCCTGCCTCAGCCTCCGGAGAGGCTGGATGACAGGCCCGGCAAGTATGCGGAACTTTACGCCAAAATCTTTCCTTGTCCTTCCTCCGTCTTTCCTTTCCACCTGCCCCTTTCACGCCTTCTATCCTACTTCAGGAAGAGACCAGCGGAAACTAGAAGATGGTCCCCGGCGCAGACCCGGCCCAGCGCCGGGCAGGAGGCGCGCGAGGCGGACTGGGCGGGAGGACGCGCGGCAGGGTGCTCGGGTTCCACGGCTGCCAGATCGTGCAGGGCCCTGCCGGGTGCTCCGCCATGACCTGGGGACCCGGCTCACCCCCTCGGGCCTGGCCGCTTGCCCACGGCCGCAACGGAAGCCTGGATTAAGTCCTCCAGCCGCAGACAGAGACTCACAGACGAGGGCCGGCGCAACCGCAGTGACTTGAGACTACGACGCAGGCGCGGGCAACCTCGCGCAGGCGCCGTACGAGGGATAGTGCCCACTGGGAGCCGCGAGGGGCGCGCGCGCGCAGTGGGACTAGCTGGGTAAGACGCATGCGGAATGGCCGGCGGAAGGCGCGGCGCGTGCGCACTTTGGAACAGAAGGATGGGCGGGGTGCGGACGGCTCCGCTATGGCGGTTTATTTTGCCTCTCGGACTCGGGCTTCCTGACACCGCCGGCGAACGGGAGCTTGCGGACCGGCGCGGTCGCCATGTACCCGCCGCCGGCGCCGGCGCCTCACCGGGACTTCATCTCGGTGACTCTGAGCCTCGGCGAGAGCTACGACAACAGCAAGAGCCGGCGGCGGCGCTCGTGTTGGAGAGTGAGTCGGGGCGGGCCGTCGGCGGGTTGCGCGGCGCTCGACCGCCTGGAGGGCGGCGGGCCTCCGGCGCTGGGCCTGGGGTTCTTCTGGCCTGGCCGCAGGCCGGCCCGCGGCGGGTCACCCTGCTTCCAGATGGTGTCGCTTTCCCCGGGACGGGAACGGGTCGTGCGCCCTTCTGTTTCCTGCTGGGGCGTTCACGGTGATCTTGGCCGGAGAGGCATCGATGCACCGCATCGATTATAGGAGTTTTTCACCAGTGCCCATGCAACTGGATCCGAGTGAACTTGTCGTTGTTATTCTCATTGCACACGTGTTACATGTGTTACATCACATGTAATGTAAACCCTGCTGATGGGGAACTTCTCTGCCCTGGAAACAACGTCGACTGGCCACTGAGTCTTTCTGAATTGCTCACTGAATCCGTGACAGTGGAGGAGATTCTCAATTGTCGCTCTTCACTAAGAAATGTCATTCTTTGTCCCTTCCTTAGAAATGGAAGCAGCTGTCGAGATTACAGCAGAACATGATTATCTTTCTCTTGGCCTTTCTGATTCTCTGTGGATTCCTGTCCTACATCCATATGGCAGACCAGTGGAAAGGTATCAGAAGCACCAGGGGTGCTAGAGGATACTTGTCAGAGGGCAGATACAACCTTGCAGTACACAGCTCCAGCAGGTATATGTAGCAGCATATTTGCAAGAAATGCAGAGGAGAGAAGTGGAGCCAGCTGTGACCAGTTGTTTGGAGCACAGATATCCATATGCTGGCTGGCTGCTCTCTAGGAGTCTGGTGTCAACACTGCTGTCTCCACCCTCTGTCTCCTGGTCATTCAGTCTTGATAATTGCATTAGTTTCCTAGCACTTGTTACTGAGTGTTTGGAAAGACCAGCAGATTTCTGTAAGGCAGTGGAGAATCACTTTTGAGCTTCTCTAAGATTGTTGCTCCTGGCTGCAGAGCTTCTGGAGGTTGCTCAAATACATTGCCTGTTTGCCACCATTTTGTGCTATTAAGGTAAAGTGTGTTGGGGTTTTGTGCTGTGCATAAGGATACACACTGTCACGTGCTTTGAAAAAGATTTTATTTCCTGTGGCTGTTCTCAAATTGAGTGACTTCTTGGAGGTCTCACTCTTCTCCTGAAACAAATAACACCTGTCTAGACATTTCTTGCTGAGCAGTTTAAGTCTCTGTCCTTGGGGGTAGTTGAAAAACAGGACTCTCTCCTGCAGCTCTGAGTGGCAAGCCCACAGAAGAGCGGAAGATGATGCCAGAAGTCCCTGGACTGAAGCCAGCAAACCCTCCTGTCTTACCAGCACCTCAGAAGGCAGATGCCAGCCCAGCGTTTTCCAAGATGTTGCCTCAGGTACTTCCAGTAAACACTAGATGGAGTTTAGCTGGGCTCCGTTTAGCATTCCAAGACAGTAGCCGCTGTGTCAAGCAGACTAAGAAGAAACACTGTCCCTGCCAGTCTCTGTATTTTCATCTAACACTCATTCCTTGCTGGTTGCATAAGAGTTGGGGAAAGAGAGAGGTGTACTCTTCTTCCATTTTCTTTGAAACCCGCTGGGGCTGGCTCTTGTACTAGGTGCAGGTTACACAGCGATGAGGGAAAGAGCCTGGTGAAGAGGCAAGTGAGAAGCCAGCAACAAACAGGACCAGTCAGGTGGCCTGTGTGCAGGTCCTGTGTGCAGAGGAGCAGGAGGTATGGTGTGGCCTGTGTGCAGAGGAGCAGGAGGTATGGAAGCAGAGGTGGTGCCATTGTTGAGGGCAGCCTCTCTGAGGACATGGCCCTGAGAGTCCAGCTGAAGGCTGAGAAGCCCATTTCTGGTTGGGGTGAACAGAGCAGTCCTGAAAAAGTAAAACTACCTGAGCAAGTAGAGTTCAGATTCCCAGAGGGCCAGGCCAGGGAGCAGAAAATAGGGTCTTCCTGGATGAGGGTGGCACTAGAGCTTTTTTTTTTTTTTTTAATATTTATTTTTTAGTTATAGATGGACACATATCTTCTTTATTTTATTTTTATGTGGTGCTGAGGATCGAACTGAGTGCCTCACGCGTGCTAGGCAAGTGCTCTACCTCTGAGCCACAATCCCAGCTCCTAGAGCTTTCTCTTGATGTGCCCAGGATGATCTCAGCAGAGAGCCACGTCCATGATGTTGGCTGTGAACACTGGTGGCCCAGTGGAGACACAATGTTAGGTACTCAGGGAAGGTAGAATGGAGACCTGAGCTTTGCTCACCATGGGCAGCCTTGCAGTGAAGGAAGGCTCCACGGGAGTAGGTGTGAGATAGGGAGGGAGTGAGGGTCCCTAGACAGAGGGGCCAGTGGAGTGCTGATCAGGAAGCAGTCTGGGGATAGTTAGGCCCTATATTTGGTACTGCTCTGTTAGTGGTCCCTGGGAGCATTCAGTAGATCACGGGGCAAGGGAAGTAGATGTGGGAAGTTCCCAGGTAGAGATGGTGTGTGTTGTGTGTTATGTAGGAGTCGGGGAAGGACCAAGCCAAGCCCTGGGGCATCCATGCTAAGAAACTTGGAGTGAGGGAACAGGGCAGAGAAAATGGAGTCCAGGATGGGTCAGAGGCAGGAAGAGGACCTGCAAAATGAGTTGTGGGTGAGAGGCGTAGAATGGAGGATGAGACCTGAGCCCCTTGAGAACTAGGGCAGGCACCCATGGCAGTATAGCTGCTGTGCTCTTAGGTATCAGTTACTATTATCCACATGTCCATGACTGGGCCTACCAGACGTGGCTGGGCTCAGGTGCTTCTCCATGGGCACTGTTCTAGACTGCAGGTGGAGGTTTCACATCCCTTCAGGGTGTCACGTGGACAGAGACCAGAAGCCCTTGCTGAGAGCAGCCTTAGGGAGCTTCCTCCCAAGGATTAGCTCTGGGCCAGAAGGTTAAGGCCAGACAGCTGCCCACTGTGTTGGCCCTTTACTCTAGATGGGGGTCATTGTGTTTTTTTTTAACCTAAATACGTAAGTTGTTATAATTCCTAGATGCTCCGTGGATGTGGTGGCAAGTACAGAAAAACAGGGGATGCCTACCACCTGCACTGGCCAGCCCCCATCCTTCTGTAAACAGTGGTGCTGTGGTCAGACCACACAGTGGGGCAGGTGGTGAGGGACAAGACAGGCCTCATGGGATGGTTGTGCCTCTGGCCAGTTGGGGGCCTGCTCTGTTGGATGGGAGGGTCAGTGTGTGCAGGCTGCATCTGCATGGTGCAGCTGCCACGCGGAGTCACATGACTGCGTGAGGATGTGCCACACTGCTCTGGGGTTTTCTGGAAGCCTGCATCTGGTGTCCAGCAGGGGCTGGGGCAGCACACAGCGAACATTCTGTGTCTCTCTTGCATGGACTTGGGGGACATGCTGCCCTCAGAAGCCTATGAACCTCTCCTGTTAGCCTCTGGCTCTTCCTGGAAAATCTGGCAGTGAGGGGCTTGGTTTCTGCCACACCTTTTTCTGTTAATCTGTATGCTGTGACTGATCTCAAACATTATAGATGCTTAGAAAGGAAAACTGAAACATTGAAAAAGGTATAAAAGGGAAACACCAAACACTCATTGCCACTCTACCCAGCGAAGCGTTTGAAAGATTTGGTGTATTTATTTTAAAGGTTTATTTAGGTGGATGTGTGTGCACAATTAGGTCAGTTGTCTGTGGATTTGTGTCCTGGATACTCTGTGCAGATCATGAGAGTGTCCCCTTTGCAGGTTTTTATAGCTGGGTTTTCTTTTCTTTCTTTTTTTGAAGGGGTTGGGTACTGGGGATTGAACCAAGGGGGCACTTAACCACTCAGCCCCAGCCCTAGTCCTTTTTGATTTTGAGACAGGGTCATGCTCAGTTGCTGAGGCTGGCCTCCCAAGTAGTTGGATTTACAGGTGTGTGCGCTCACGCCTGGCTGTAGCTGGGTTTTCCTTGGCATAGTTATAGCGTCATTCAATAAATTGTTTATCTACTGAGAATCCCTTCATCACATATAAATTAAGCCAAGTGGTATTCGGTGCCTGCTGCTGTGGAAACATGGGGGATGGAGCTGGAAGATCCACCAATCCTGTGGCCAGGGCTGACTCAGTGTGGAGGAGCAGAGGGTCACCCTGTGTTGTTTGGATCCTGTGCTGTGTGAGGACACAGTATCCTTCAATCTTCCCAGGACGGGCAGCAGGCAGTGGGGAGCAGAGTGGCGCCATTGGGTCTTCCATCCAGAGTCATGGTCCTTGCCGCGCTTGCTCTTCTAGGACTGTGACACTGAGCTGTTCCACCAGGGTTCTCAAGTCTTTGTCCAGGCCTGTACTAGCAAGTTGGCTTTGTCACCAGGCTCCTAAGGAGGTCATCTCCCAAGCCTGCAGATGTGCTTAAAAATCAAAATCACCCCCTGAGGTTGAGTGGACCCACCAGTCCCCCTCCTCTCCGGAGTGGGTGTGCCCTTGGGGGACCCTGGCATGCCTAGAAGTGTAGCCCATAGTCAGTGGAGGTGTCTCACCTGAGACTCTGATTTTTGTCCAGAGGCCTCGAAAGCATTTCCGGCGGGGGCCTCCCCACCTGCAGATCAGAGCCCCCAACACGGACTCCAAGGCTGGGACACAGGGTGACACTAAGGAGCGGGCAGCAGCCCCGGGGGATGCTCATCAGGAAGAGAACACACAGCGGACCGTCATCAGGTACCAAGGGTGAGAGTGTGGGGTGGGCCTGGACTTGCAGAGGGCAGGCAGCCTGGTGGGGTGTGGTCTGTCCACACCCTGCTCCCCATTCGAAGAGATCCTATGTTCTGCTGACGGGTCTTCATTGAGGTTTGGCCACCAGTCAGGTTTCAGGGACTTGGGGTCAGAGCTCAATGAGGGGACGTGGTGGGAAAGAGCAAGACTCAGGCTTTTCTTCCTGTGGCTGGTGGCTGTGAGGATACACAGCTGCCCAGCAGGCACCCTCCTTCCTGAGGCCTGTGTGGCCAGGCAGTGAACAGAGACAGAGGGGCTGGCCCACTGCCCACTCCCAGGACCCAACGCCTGCTGGCCTGGCCAGGGCCGGGTCTCAGCGCTCCAGAAGCCTGGGTGCTGGTGGCTTTCAGCCAGGGAGCCCTTTGACCTCTCACCTGTGGAAGCAGTTGTGCTGCCACGCGGAGGGCCACTTCCCAGCAGCTGCCCGGCTCTGCAGCAGGAGTGCATCTGCAGAAAGGCCCAGCCCTGAGTGCTCTGCACACAGTGAGTGGGAGCTCAACCAGGTGGGCTGGCCCGAGCAGGTCCTCTGAGCCTCTAGAGCTGAACCCAAAGACGGGGCCAGAGGCCTGGGCTCAGAAACCCAGATAGACAGCCCGCAGGGACACGTGTACTTGAGGGAAAACCATAGCCCATGGAAGTTCTTAATCATGTTGCATGAATAAAAGGAGGTTTGCTTTCGGAGTCAGAGCATTTGAACTTGTGTTCCCAAGTCGTGGGCACTCAGTGGAATCAAGAGGCCTTTAGCTAATCTGGAACCAGTTCAGCTGAGGTCATTAAGTGACTGTTTGGGAGACTATTTGGGCTGGGTGCAGGGCACACGCCTGTAATCCTGTCTGCTTGGGAGGCTGAGGCCAGAGGATCATGAGTTCAAAGCCAGTCTCTGCAACTTAGCAAGGCCCTAAGCAACTCAGTGAGACCCTGTCTCTAGATAAAAAAATACAAAAAAGTGCTGTGGATGTGGCTTAGTGGTTAAGTGCCCCTGGGTTCAATCCCCTGTAACAACAACAACAAAAGACTATTTGAGCCAGCCCTCAGCCCCAGTGTTGCGTGGCAAACCTTTTGCCTATTCCTGTGTGTTGCCCATCAGGCCAAACCCCAGAAAGGGACATTGGGTTACTGTGTATCTTGTGAGTAGGGAAAATGCCAGTGTAGTTGACCAGCCCTTCATCCCATGTCCATCTCGCTTTGACTCAGTGTGGATGATAAATTATGAGGTCACTCGCCTTAGGAGCCCTCACCTCTGGCCTCCGTTTCCCTTGCAGCACCCTTTCTCATAGTCCCCTGCTGGCCTCAGTACCTCTCCATGCTCTCTAACCCCAGGTTCTCCCCTTGCTTAGAGCAGCCCAGGTGTCTTGTCCACATTCAGGTGACCGTGACCATGACTGTGATCCTGACTAGACGGCCTGGAGCACATCAGGACCAACCAGTTGTTTTCCTATTGCTCTGTGGCCATGTACCCCCCCCCCTCCGAGATAGGACTCTCTGGACATGGGTCTTGTGTGGTGTGAGGGTGTGGGGCGTGGTGGACGTGCACCCTTGGTCTGGCTGACTGCTTTCCCTTCCCTGAAGCTGGCGGGGTGCAGTGATCGAGCCCGAGCAGGGCACTGGACTCCCTTTGAGAAGAGCAGAGGCCCCTGCCAAGCCTTCTCCACTGGTTACCAGGATGCAGAAAGAACCGGGTAAGGCCCCACTTGCCCCTGTCTCACCTGGGCCTGTATCCAAGAAGCTGGTGGTTGGTGCTCTCTGCATCCATGCTGTGGCCTCCTGCCTGATGGACCCAGGGAGCTTGCCCTTCAGTATCCACAGCCAGCTGAGGTCCTTGGGCCCACATGCTTTTCTCAGCCCTGGTAACAACCCATGGCTTCTTGGTGGCCCTGGCCCCCTGGTCTAAGCACTTGGCAGCAGGAGAGCAGCTGTGTCTTAGAGGTTTGTTTTCACTGCTTGGGCCAGGCTGTGCCCTGGTGTAACACAGACAGCGCTGTGCTTGGTGTGGGCGCTGGGGTCTAGCACCGTCTGTGGAGGGCACTCGTCACTGCCTCTGCACTCACTGTGCCCTTTGAGATAAGTGCCTGCACATGACCATCCAATAGACAGGGAGACTAAGGCCTGGGTCACTCACTGCCAGGGCCCACACGTGGGTCCCTGCTTTGCTTCTGCTGCCAAAGCCTCCAGGTGCAGGAGGATAGGGAGCCCCAAGCTGTGACTCGCAGCCCCAGGTGCAGCAGGGACTTGGGAGTGAACAAGCCAAGCTGCAGCCGTAGAAGGAGCTCGGTCTGTGGGAGGAAGCACCTTGACACCAGAAGCCAGAGGCTGAGGGCCTGGGGCGGTGCCCACGTCTCACAGCACCAGGAGATGCTGTGCACCTGTGGAGGGCTGCCCAGCCTCAGCGCCACAGGGCCCTGTCCTGGGGCTTCCAAAGCTAGTGTGGCTGAACAGGATGAGTTTGGGGTAGGGTTCCCTGTGCCCACATCCCTGCTGCACACTACTAGGCCCAGCCTCTGCACCTGTCTGCTGCCTCAGAGGGCTGGTTTGGATGGGTGCAGTGGTCATACCTGCGATCCCAGCTGCTCAGGAGGTTGACAGTCACCTCTGAGGCCAGCCTGGCAACCCAGTGAGACCCTATCTCAAAAAATAAGAAAAGCTGGGGATGTAGCTCAGTGGTAGAGTGCCCCTCACCCCCTGCACCACAAAAGGAGGACCTTGTCTGTGGGGCTGTGGGAGTGTTGTCCTCACAAGCCTTGAATAGAGGCCCCTGTGCCACAGGGGACAGCCAGGCTCCACAGGGCTGAATGCCTGGTGCAGTTCAGTGTGGCCTCTGGAGTCCTCATCTCCTTGATGCTGTGTCTGTCTGAAGGGCCCTCCCATGGCCCCTCTGACTCCCGGCCTAGGCTTTTTTTTTTTCCAGTGTTGGGGATTGAACCCAGGGATACTCTACTGGTGAGCTACACCCCAGACCTTTCTATTTTTCATTCTGAAACAGGGACTTTCTACGTTGCTGAGGCTGGCCTTGAACTTACAGTCCTGCCTCAGCCTCCTGCCTCAGTCTTTGGGATCATAGGTGTGTGCCCAACATTCCTGGCCCTGGCCAGTGTCCCTCCTGCTCCACTCACCTGGGCCCATTGCTGGGCTCTGCCTGGAGGGCTTCCCGCTTGTGCCCTGACAGCAGCACCAGAACCACATCCCCATGGCCGTGTTCCCTCTTCTAGCACTCCTAAACGAGCGCCAGGAAGGGGTGATTGAGGCCTTTCGACATGCGTGGAAGGGGTACCGCCAGTTTGCTTGGGGCCACGACGAGCTCAGGCCTGTGTCCAAGTCCTTCAGCGAGTGGTTCGGCCTGGGCCTCACTCTGATCGACGCCCTGGACACCATGTGGATTTTGGGTCTGAAGCAAGGTAATGGCTCATTTCTGGGGCAGGGCCAAGCTGTTCTGTGTGACACCTGGGAAAGCCATGCCGGGCTTACCCTCCTCCTGGGCACAGGGGTGGGTGTGCAGCACGGTTGGGGCCTATTTGTGTGTCCAGCCTCCCAGGCCCACTCAGGAGCTGTCCCCTGGCCTCCTAGAGGATGTCCAGGAGGTATGTCCAGTCTGCTGTGGCACTGTACTTTGATGGGGCTGTCAGACGGCCCTCTAGGCCTGAGGTGGGCCTGCCCTGGGCTGTTCTCTTGGTGGTGCCACCTCCGTCCAAGTGACCTGCTTAGTTGGCAGCATTGCTGCCATCATGTCCAGTCCTGGGGAATGTTTGCAGTTGCTGGGCCACTTGGTGGGCCTGAAAGGTCATGACCTTAGGGCTGGCCCTGGAACCCTGCAGGATGAGTCTCCCCAGCAGGCTTAGGAGATGGATTGCAGGAGAATGACATACCTCTAACTTCACTCTGTGGTGTCACAGAATTTGAAGAAGCCAGAATGTGGGTGTCACAGAAGTTAAACTTTAAGAAAGACGTGGATGTGAACCTGTTTGAGAGTACCATCCGCATCCTGGGCGGACTCCTGAGCACCTACCACCTGTCCGGGGACAGGCTTTTCCTGAGGAAGGCTGTGAGTGTCTGCTGGTCCTGCCCTGAAGGGCAGATAGCTGAGTGGTGCTGCCTGGCGCTGACTTGCCCGGCAGGGGGGGGATCATGCTCAGCTCCTGTTTGCTGATGTGCATTGGGTGTACCAAGCGCCACACTGCCTCTTGCCTGGATGACCATGGGTGGCACCTTAGAGTTTTGAGCATGGAAGAGGCTCTGACCTGAGCCCTGGTTGTCTGCTTGCTTTTATGTCAGAAAGATTTTGGCAATCGGCTAATGCCGGCCTTCATGACGCCCTCCAAGATTCCATACTCCGATGTGAACATCGGCACTGGAGTTGCCCACCCACCCCAGTGGACCTCAGACAGCACAGTGTCCGAGGTGACGAGCATTCAGTTGGAGTTCCGCGAGCTCTCTCGTCTCACGGGGGTCAAGAAGTTCCAGGTAGGGCTGGGTTCCTGCTGAAGCTAACCCTTCCTCATCGCGGGTGCAGTCGGGTGCGTGTTGATCTCTCTTCTTGGGATTTTTGACTTTGTTTTAGTGTGAGAAAATGCACGTGAAGTTTGCAATCTTAACATTTTTGGTCTCAGGACATTTGCAGTGCCATGTGACTGTCACCAGCATGCATCAGTGTAGCCCTCTTCATCCTGTGAAGCTGAAACTGTCCCCATTAAATGGAAGGCTGGTGCCCTGGCTGGCAGCACCTGCTCCCGTCTGCCGTGGCGCTGCGTGTGGGCCCTTGTGGCAGTGGAGCCCTGCCGGCCTGTCCTTTCAAGGCCCCTCTCACGTGGCGTGGGACCTCATTTTGCTCATCCACTCATGGGTTGTTGCACACTTGGGTTTTTCCAGGTTTTGATGTTTTTGTTTTCTGGGACCAGGGATTGAACCCAGGGGCACTCCACCACTGAACCACACCCCCTGCCCTATTTTGTATTTTATTTAGAGACAGGGTCTCACTGAGTTGCTTAGCGCGTCACCATTGCTGAGGCTGGTTTTGAGCTTGCGATCCTCCTGCTTCCGCCCCCTGAGCCGCTGGGATTATAGGCGTGTACCATGGCACCTGGCCCATTGGTCTACTTTTTTTTTTTTTCAGTTGTAGGTGAACACAGTATCTTTATTTTACATTTATGTGGTGCTGAGGATGGAACCCAGGGCCTCATGCATGCCAGGCAAGCACTCTACCACTGAGCCACAGCCACAGCCCTGGCCTACTTGTTAGTTGGGATTTTTTGTTTGTCCTTATTGAGCTTAAAGATTTCCATCTGTACTCTATGCTAACGCAGGTCGGATGCGTGATTCTGAGTGTGTTCCCCCTGGCTGCCCGTCTCTTGCACCGTTCATAGTGCCTTTCAGTGCACATGTTAAGTTTTGTGCAGGTCAGGTTGGCCCGTCCCTCTGGTGTCAAGAAATCCCCACAGACGCAGGCCCTGGTCCTTCTGCCATGGTGCCCCCTGCAGGTGTGCAGGCTCAGTCTTGTGTCCAGGACGCAGGTCTCCCCTGTGTCAGCCCTCGTGTGGAGTTAGGCAGGGGCAGCCGCACTCCTCCTGTGGTTCAGTTTCCAACTCATTTGTTGGAAAGCTGTCCTTTCTCATCAGATGGCCCTGGCCCCCTTGTTCCTAGCCTCCCACCTTGTATCCCACGGTGTCCCCCTGGGCCCTGTTCTGGTTTCATGCCAGTAGCATACTGTTCTGGCCGCTACAGCTCTACACATGAGGAGGTGGGAGCCCCTGCCCAGTCTGCCCTCTCGAAGGCTGCTTTGGCTGCTCAGTGTCCCTTGAGATTGCAGGTAGATGTCAGAGTGGGTTTTTCTAAGCTGCAAAAGGACATGGCCGGGGTCATGAGGAGAGGCCTTGGCTCTGTGGCCAGTCTGGGGCCTGCAGACCCCTCGCTGCGGGAGCTATCCACGCCTGCCCTCATGTCTCTGCTAGGCTGTGCCATGGACGTTGCCCACGTCTTGCCTTGTGGATGCCTGGGGCTCCACGTGCGTGCCAGTGTCATGCTAAGGTGGGCCAGCCTTTGCCATGCTGGTGCTAACCCCTGGGCTGTCCTGGCCCAAGCGGACTGCCTGGTGTCATCACGGAAGGAGAGTTGTTTCTGTTGGATGCTCCCGTCGGCTGGGCTCCTGGGTCTCCCTGTTATGTTACAGTGGCCCAGCACATTGGCCATCCGTGGTCTGGGAAGAGACCCTGTAGTCTGATGTGGCGCTGGCTGAGAGCCGCAGGGCTCCACAGGACCTCTGAGGAGGAGCTCCTGCATCGTGGGTTGAAGGGGCTGGAGGACTGCCTACAGCAAACTCGCTCTCCCCTGTGCTGCAGGAGGCCGCGGAGGAGGTGACAAGGCACGTTCACCATCTGTCTGGGAAGAAGGATGGGCTGGTGCCCATGTTCATCAACACGCACAGCGGCTCCTTCACCCACCTGGGTGTGTTCACCTTGGGCGCCAGGGCTGACAGCTACTACGAGTACCTGCTGAAGCAGTGGATCCAGGGCGGGAAGCAGGAGACACAGTGAGGCCTGCTTCTGCTGCCTTTGATGCGGGACCCCAACCCACCCGCCCCGTCCTTGGGCAGGAGCCGCAGCACCTCAGGCATGGCCTGGCTCCTGTGTGTGCGCTTCCCTGTCATGGCCTTCACAGGGGTGAGGGGCTGGGCTCTTGAGCAAGGCCCCCACCTTGCTAGCACCCAGCTGGGCAGGAGCTCAGGGCCTATATGTGGGCCTGGGTTGTGTGCAGCATCTGGTCCCTAGGCAGTGACCTGCCTGGTCCTGTCACCCTGGCGGAGGCCAGGGGGAGCTGACTTGTGGTGTCCACAGGTTGCTGGAGGACTACCTTGCAGCCATTGAGGGGATAAAAACACACCTGGTGCGGCACTCGGAGCCCAACAAGCTCACCTTCATAGGGGAGCTCACCCACGACCGCTTCAGTGCCAAGATGGTGAGTCCCGAGGGCTGTGGGCCTTACGGAGGCACTTGTTTCTTTGTGGTCTCGAAGCCCCTGAGTGCATGTCAGGAGGAACAAGGGAACCCTGGCCAGGGGAACAAGGGACGTGGGCTGTGGTCACAGGCAGACCCTTTCTGCCTGACCTGGCCTTCCCCATGGCAGTCCCAGGGCCAGCCCCTAGAGCCCTGCCTCAGGTGCCTGACCTGCGGCAGGTCCAGAGGTGCCTGTAGGCAGGCTGGAGGGGCCTGTGATGCCTGGGTCACCTGCCCCTGGGAGGAGCCTGTGCCACAGCTTTTCTCCTGGACACTGCATCCATCCCCGCAGTTCTGCCCAGGAGGAGGGTTGCTCAGGCTGCCTGTCTGCAGCTCTTCCCTCCGGGGAACTGGCGGCTAGTGTGCTTGGCCCCAGCATGGGCCAGCCAAGTGCGTGGGCCTGGGGTCCAGCTGTGAGGAGACGCTCTGGTTCCAGGACCACCTCGTGTGCTTCCTGCCAGGGACGCTGGCTCTGGGCGTCCACCACGGCTTGCCTACTGACCACATGGAGCTGGCTCGGGCACTCATGGAAACCTGTTACCAGATGAACCGACAGATGGAGACAGGCCTAAGCCCTGAGATCGTGCACTTCAACCTTTACCCTCCTACAGACAATCTGGACGTGAAGGTCAAGGTAAGCCTGGGTCTGGGCTGTGCTTGAGAGTGTCGGGGGTGAGTTGGGCACGGGGCTGGCACCCTGAGCCGCTGCTCTCCTCCCAGCCAGCTGACAGGCACAACCTGCTGCGGCCCGAGACCGTTGAGAGCCTGTTCTACCTGTACCGCACCACAGGAGACCGCAAGTACCAGGACTGGGGCTGGGAGATCCTGCAGAGCTTCAACAAGTACACACGGGTGAGCCCTCAGCTGCCCTCGTGCCACAGGTCAACTGGCTGAGTGCTGGCAGTGCCCCAGGATAGTGGTGGCAAGGTGGGGCCAGCTCTGGGGGCCCGGAGGTGACTGTGCCAGCTCTGTCCAACCCAGCTGGCACAGCTGCCCGCTGAGCTCTGGCACGGAGACCTGTTGTGCGTGGAGGGCTGGGTGCTCTGGAACTCTGTCTCTTGGGCCACGCCTTCCTGGAAAGGGCCTCTGCTGCACTCCCAAGAGTGTAGCCCATTGTTTGAGAGGCACTTGCTGCAGTGACCAGGGCGCTGCCCACCCTGTGGTTGCAAGATGCTTGGCGTCCTGTCTTACAGATGGCCCCAGGCCCAGCAACCACCACTGTGGCTCCAGAGACAGACATAGCCCCACCCTGACACCTGGCTCTGTGTGTTGTCCCCTGGCCTGGGGCCCAAGACTTCAGCTATCCCAGCTTCCAGCCAGCTGCACCTGCCCTTTGCCCAGTTGTACCTGAAGCTCTGGCCCTGGAGACCCTGTGCCCTCGTCCGTCCTTGCTGAGGTCCCTCAGCCCAGGTGCTGGAGAGGGAGTTTCTGTTGTAGGCACTCAGAGGCTGCTGGCATTTTCCAGGGGTCCCTAGTAGAAGCACAGCTAACTTTTAGGGGCTGTTGTTGAGGCACTCTCCAGCCCAAGCCTGCACTGGGTTTGTGGGGACCGTGGGGGGGCCCAGCCCACGTCTCAGAGGCCTTGCCTCTCCTACAGGTCCCCTCAGGTGGCTATACATCCATCAACAATGTCCAGAACCCCCACAAGCCTGAGCCTAGGGACAAGATGGAGAGCTTTTTCCTGGGGGAGACCCTGAAGTACCTCTATCTGCTGTTTTCCGACGACCAGAACCTGCTCAGCCTGGACACCTATGTGTTCAACACAGAAGCCCACCCCTTGCCCATCTGGGCCCTCTCCTAGGGCGGCTCCGGGCTGGGATAGCTGAGGGGGTAGTGTGGCCTCACCGAGCCTGGCATGTGTCACGGGGCCCTATGGTACTGGGCGGCTGCCAAGCGCCAATGCTCCTGCCCCAGCTCTGGGCTCTCCTGGTCTCTTGCTTCTACTTAGGGTGGTGTGAGGAACAAGAGCCCCAGTGAGCTGGGGTGGGGTTCAGGGTGACCAGTTCACCAAGCACCTTCGGCCTTCATCCTCAAGAAAATCAGATCACGACTCCTGACTCCTGTCCCTGATGTCCCAGCAGACTGGCTTTCAGGGAGCTTCCTGGTGGCCCTGGGCCCTCTGGTCGCCTTCTGAGGCTGCTGAGTCGTGTTCAGAGAGGAGCTGGGGGAGCCCGCCAGGCAGGTCTGCTCCAGCTGGTGGCCTGGGATGTGCCCTGGCCCATGGTCTGGAGGAGCCTCTGTGGCCTGGCAGGCCGTGGCTTGGGACCTCCCGGGGGCAGCCTTTCTTGGAGTGGGTGTTTACACATTGGACTCAGGGATCCTGACTGCCTGGAGGGGCTTGCTGCGGCTGGGTGGCCGGTTCTTCCTGCTCCCAGGCCTCTGGATGGAAAGGGACTTCTCAGTTGAGATAAAACCCACTTGCTACCAGTGTGGCAGCTCCTGTGTGTGCAAGGGGGTCTCTGGGCTGGGAAGTCTGGGCCAACCTTTGGGTAGCAGTTCTGGGTCTCCCCTCAGTACCCATCCCAAGGTCAGGACTCTTGCTGCCCTCCAGGTGAGAAGGGCCTGCTTAGAGAAGCCCTGCAGTGTGGTGGCGTGGGTCAGCGGGGTCCTGACAGTCTGCAGTGCCCTGAGGCTGCTAGCCAGCACGTTCTTGGAATGAGGTCTCTGAGTGGTGCCAAGCCTTGGATACCCGGACAGTTGTCCTCATCCTTGCCGTCAGCTGCAGGGTCCTTATCATCAGGTACAGGGTCCTTGTCACAGGGCTGGCCCTGGGCCTTGGCTGGGGTCCTCTGTTACAGACCAAGGTGGTCTCTCTGCCTGTCTGTGTTAACATAAGGAACCCTTTGCTTTTGTCATTTCTGGAAGTTCTCGACTGAAAAGCTGGAGCCCAGGCAGCACCCTGGGGCCACCTGATAGGCTGGGGCCTTCAAGATCTTGGCCCCTTAGGCCTGGCAGGATGTGTTCCCTGGCTGCCTGCAGCTGGGCCCTCCTGTGTCAGCTACCTGTGCCTCCCAGGATGGCAAGTGCCCTCAGGGCCCTCCTCTGTTTCTTACACCCCAGGCCAACTCTGACCCCAGAAGTGTGTGTGTGGAAGGGCCTGGCTGCAACGTGTTCTTGGACCTCAGCCTTATGGCTCCTAGATTCACTGAGGAAACCCTACAACCTCCCCACATCGAGAGGGTAGCCATGTTCCCCCACAGCCCTCCTGGGCCAGGAGTTCCATATACTGAACAGGCAGGACTGGGCGGCAGCTGCGGCCTGCTCAGGGATTGGATGTAAGTGGGTCCTGAGCAGCCAAGTAAAGTACAGCTTCCATATCTCGTCTCCAGCTCCCAAATATATGTGCTCTGGAAGGGGTGGCCAATGCTGAGGGCTGGGAACATGGCCCTCCCGGGGGTTGCTGAGGGCCTGAGGCTCTAATGAAGTTCTGTCCACCAAGCAGTGGGCTTTTTCAGGGTGTGGAGTGGCTTTCTGGGCAGGGAGGTGGGTCCCTGGGAAAGGCAAATCTCCCCCTGCCCCCCGTTGCCCTCAAGTGCCAGCCTTGGAGTCAAGTCTGTGCTTTATTGAACATTCTGCAGCTTCAGCAGGCGCTGGGCAGGGGGCTCCTGCCCAGCCTCCAGGGACACACCCAGCCCCTTTGCTTGAGGTCCCCACAATGCCCCAGCCACACAGTGGACCTAAACAGTGTGTCCAGGGCAGGACGGGCGGCCAGCAGCTCCTCACTCCTCAGGGTGTCCAGGACACTGCTGCCTACTCCGGGCTGCCTTCGCCCACTCGAGGATGAGAGCAGCCTCCAGCCTGCGCACCTCCAGGACCGAGTTGGGGTCTTGTGGGTGGGATGCCCTGAAGAGGGCACAGGGGTTGGGGGCACTCAGCTGGACATGCAGACCCCAACCGTCAGGGTGAGCCTCACCCACACCCAGCTGTCAGCCTAGGTGGGACTGCCTGGCTGCACCTGAGGTCTAGGTGGTGTGCTCCCCCGTGGATGGTGACAGCAATGACCGACGCGCTCACGTTCCTCAGAATCTGTCGTTGGTGGGAGGATCTCCTGTCAGGCTCGCAGCTTGTGCTGTGGGCCATAAGCAGCCCCCCTCAGCCTTCCCACCCAGCTGTCAGCATGGGCTCCAGCGGCCCCATTGGAGAGGGAAGGTGAAGGTCAGCGAGCCAGATGTCTATCCATTTGAGTAATCAGGAAACAGAAACCAGAAAGTGGGAACAGTAGGGACCGGAGCAGAAGTGGAGGGTGGAACTGAGGGGGCCTCGGGGCGAAGCTGGCTCTTTGAGGTTCTGGTAGGCTGATAGGGAGGCCCCGTTGATACCACTCAGCAAAACCAGTGGCCCCGGCACCAAAAGTTCTCAAGGGGGTCCACAGCTGCCCAGACCAGGACTCACCCCGCCCCCTGCCCAGGGGTCTAGGTCACCATTGGAGAAGATGATGTTGCTGGTGGCTCTGAGGTCTGAAAGACACCAAGTGGTGGCAAAGGACCCAGTGTGGCCCTTGGAGCTGTGAACTGTGGCAAGTGCCGATTCAGGATGCCGCCCAGCAACCCCACCCCCAGCCCTTACCACCGCCCCAGAAGCTGGTCTGCAGCCAGTCCGGCCGAGGCCACACGCCCCACTTATTCAGGCAGTACTGTTGGCGGAGCGTGGCGGTGAACGGAAGGGCAGGGAACATGTCCGTCACGTTGTTGCTGTCAAAGGTCAGGTTGATCTCGGTGCAGGCCTGGATGCCCCGCCCCAAGGTCAGGCAGGCAGGGGGAGTACCCACACCCACATCCAGCCACTCATGCTGCCCACACCCCACACCTGATAGTCCCAGGCCATGGCATCAGGGCCAGTGCCACAGCCAGTGGGGTCCGCACAGCTGTGGTACAGCTGGTAGATGTCATAGCAGTGCGCTGTGCCCGAGGAGTTGTAGACCAGCCCTGGGAGGAGGGATGCTGGGATCAGCAGTGGACACAAATCCTGCATGCTCAGGTTACCAACCCACCCCCCTTGGGAGGGCCCTGCAGGTGGGGAGTCCCTGGGCTCTGCTTGGGGATCTGCCGTCAGCTCTGCCCCTGGCTACTGAAGGCAGTCCAGTGTCACCTGACCTTCCCCACTGGCAGGGTGGGGCATGCTGACCTCCATGCCTGGGGACCCCAGGGGCCCCACTAAACAGCACCTCCTGTGGGGCCCTCGTTGCCACCCTACAGAGCTTCTGCCCAGCCCTCCTGGCACGGGTTCTGTTTCTGTCCTTCAGCTGCGGTTCATAGCTTTCCTGCCGCAGCCCAGGTGGTCACGAGGCAGAGCCCCAGTCCAGGGCTGCAAGTCCTTGCTCTGCCCAGCCCCAGACCAGCAGTTGGGTCTCCATACTTGCCCTATGTAAAGCTGAGGGTCAGACTCACCTGTCAGTGCCCGCAGACCCACGATCCTCTGGGCCTCCCTCAGCAGCCGGGCACAGCCAACCTGGGATATAGGGGCAGCAGAGCATCTCAGAGGAGTCCCCCGTCCACAGCCCAACCTTCATGGTCCCAGGATGAGGGTCAGTCAGGGCTATGGGGATGAACTGACCTGAGTAGGAGCAAGGCCCCGGGGCTGGGCTGGCCCCAACCACCCAGGGAAGCTGGGCTGGCCTTGCACCTAGAAGAGGCGCCTCACCTTGACAGGGTTGGCAGGCAGGTACCCCATGAAGTCAGTGGGGTACGGGTAGTCCATCATGGCCAGCAGAGTGAAGGCGTTGCGTGCAAACACAAAGAGCTGAGTCAGGTCCTTTGTGTCCAAGAGTGGCTGGCAGGTGCCAAACTCCTGGCTGACCCTGTCACGGGCTACAGGGAAGGGGCAGAGGGAGGCTGCTGGAAGGTTTGGTGGGGCATGGGCCATGGGGGCTGTAGCGGGAGGGGGCAGAGGGGGCAGGTAGGGCAGTGGCCTCGTGGCCCCTCACCTCCCTGTAGGAACAGGTCCCTGATCTGCTGGAAGGCCTCCCGCACGCCCTGGACACACCTTGGACTCTGGCTGTGGAAGGTCTGGAGAACAGACTGCAGTCATTGAAGTGGCTGGCCCAGGCTGGCCCAGGACCCCCAGGCCCTCACTCACCGCTGTGACGTCCCGGAAGAACTGGTTGGAGGTACCAAGGCCCGCGACAGCCAGGACGGGTGCGCTGGCTGCCAGCGCCCCTGCCACCAGGTGGGGGTACTTCATCCTCATGTAGGCGCTGAGCATCCCCCCGTAGCTGGGCAGGCACAGGTTAGGGTGCTCAGCCTGTGCTCGGCCGCAGCCCTGCCCTGGCCTCTGACTGTCCTCCCGCCCCCCACACCCACTTCCTCTGCTTTCCTTGCAGACCACAGGTGTTAAAAGAAGGAACTGAAACTTCCGTGACCACCAGTTCTGACCCTGGCCTCAGTCAGGCACAGCCTTCACTGGGAAAAGGTCCCTGGTGGACATCCCTCTCCTCGGCTCAGCCTGGGGACTGGCTCAGGACCAGTGGGAGGGCTTCCTGGAGCAGGCAGCACAAGGTCTGGAGCTGCCGTGGACTCGGGAAAGGTGGGGGGTTGGGGCAGAAGGGACAAGTGGCACCTGAGCACTCAGGCTAGGCGGGGGTGGGGTGTGTTCAGGAGGCCGCACTCTCTCCAGGCCTGACTGGTCTGGACAGGGTGATGGCCACCCTGGGGATTTGGGGTGGGTGTCAGGGAGGAGGACGAGCAGGGGTTCCACCTCTGCCCATGGTGGCCCTGCCAGCCCTCTGCTGGTCTCTGAGGACTCACCTCCCTCCAAAGGTGATGACAGGGCCACCCTGTGCTCCTAGTTTCTGCCGCAGGGTCTGGATCAGCACGGCATAGTCGGCCAGCGCCTGCTCCACGGTCAGCAGCTCGGTGTACCCGGGCTGCATGGACTTCTCCCCAAACGGGAGCGACTTCCCGTAGTAGCGCTGTGGTGAGGAAGGAAGGCTGACCTGGCTGCCCCCTGTGCCCAGCCGCCGTCTGGGGACCCCTGGAGCTGGCCGGTACGTACATGCTCCGCAAAGATGAGCAGGGCGCCTTGCTGGGCTGCCAGCTCCACCACAAAGCCTGTGTTGTTGGCCAGAGTCCACACGTCCACCTCGTTCCCCGTGTAGAAGAAGATGGGCCCCTCGCCCCTTCGCCAGAACTTGTCTGCAGGGGACGGGGTGGGTGAGGCCAGGGCAGGTGCAACAGGCACCAGGCAGTGAGGACAGGACAGGTGCAGCAGGTAGGTGACGGGGCAGGGCTCACCTGACACCAGCACCCGCTGGTAAAAGGTCTTGTTGCCAAACCTCGCAAAGTTGAAATGGTCCATAAACTGCTCAAAGTACCTCTCCCAAAAGCCAGCGTCCAAGCCTCTGTGGGCTTGAGGGGAGAACGGGGGCTCAGGGACCATCAGGGGCCAGGGGTGCCCAGGGCCTGAAGGGTCAGGGAGGAGGGGCCGCTGGATCGACACTCACCCCCAGCCTGGACGTCACCCAGTCCCAGTGTCAGCAGCAGGACCTGTGCCCAGAAAGGGGCCCCACAGTCCAGGGGCACCCTGAACTGGGGCCTCATGTCTGGCTCTGTGAACGGCACCCGGCGGTCACGTGAGCAGGATCACATGACAGTAGGGCGGCCTCATGTGACAATCAGGGCGGGGCTGGTCCTCCTACCGTAGCTGGAACCAGGAGCAGGGCTGGCCTGACCCTCCAGTAGGCTTCAGCTTCTGTGTTGTGGCAGGTCCTGAGGGTTCCTGGGCACCCACTGTGTTCCCATGGGGATGGTTGCCATGGGACCCACAAGGCAGACGAGGGCTGGGCCCGGGCTGTGTGGGCACAGTGGGCAGGGCACGTGTACCCAGCCAAAGAGGGCCACAGAATGGGGAGAGGGTCCCGGAGGGAGAAGGGAGGGAGCCCAGGCCCCAGGAAGGCCCCGAGGGAGACGGCCGAGCCTGCCCCCACCCAGCAGCCCAGTCAGCTCACCTGCCTGTGGGCCCACGCTGGGCAGGGTGTGTCCACAGCCAAGCAGCAGCCAGCTGCCCCAGCACCAAAGCACAGGGTGACAGGGCTGTGGGGCAGTGTCCTCAGGCAGAGCAAGGCAGGAGGAGAGGCCTGGCCTTCCCCACGGGGGGGACATGGGCTCCAGGAAGGGGCCCCTGATGAAAGCCGGGGCCCAACCATGGAAGTGGGAGTGCCCGGGGCTTGGGCAGGCAGGAACATGGCTGTTCTGCTCCCCTGACTGGCACCCACTGTGCCCACGCAAGCACAGGAGGGAGGAGCCGCCTTCCCCAGAGTCCGTCCATGGCCTAGGGCACTCAAGCATGAATGGAGCCATGTCCACTCAGCTGGCCCTGCAGAGACCCCTGTGCGAGCCCCAGAGGGGCTGGAGAGTGCAGGGTCCTGGGTGGGGTCTCAGAGTGGCTCTTCTCTCTTGTCCAGGGCAGCAGCCAGGGTCCCCAGAGCCTGTGAGGGTGGGCAAGGCCGATGGTTCCTGTGGAGGTGAGGCTTCTGAGTGACCCCTTGGCACACGTGGCAAGGCCTCTTCCAGAAGATGGCCCTGGACCCAGTGCCTATCTTGCCCTCGGGGCATAGCTTCTACAGTGGCTCGCCCCCAGCTCCAGGTCACCCCATGTCCTCTACTACTTTCAGCCTGTAGGGCACAGTGGTCACCCGGGGCAGAGCAACCAAGAGCAGGTGGGCCTAGGCACCTGCTGCAGACTTGGAGCTCTGAGGGCCCCTCTCCTTACATCCCCAGGCTGGCCAGGTGTGTGCATCTGCTGCAGATCTGCAGGACAGAGAGAGGGGGGTACCAGGTGAGGGGCATCCCAGGGGTCTGGGCTGTGGGAGGCCAGGAGGCAGTGACCTAGCCCTCCTCCACCCCCAGTCCACCCAGGCTGCTCAGTGCTTCTGGCCCACCTCCTCCCACCTCTCCCAGGTCAGACAGAGATCCTGGGACCGTGCCAGCCCCTGACCACTATCCACTCTGCCTGCTCAGACCTCAGAGCTGCTGGCACTGGGGGGACACTGTTCCCAAATCAGTCCAGAGCTCCACTCCATGCCTGCTGCACCTGCCTTAGGGCCCTGCTGGTCTCTGTAGTAAACCCATAAGGATGTACTCTTAGTGATGGTGAAGCTGGGATTCAGTGTGATGCATGGTCACTGTTATCTATTTCACAAGCTACTTCAGCACCCCAACAGAACAACCTCCTTATGCATTAGTGTCCAGCCCCCTCCAAGCCTGGCAGCATCCTCTGCTCTCCCTGGGAGCTGAGTCCAGATGTGTCACTGGGAAGACTCAGCAGTGCCCAGAGGTGACTACACCCCTGCTGTGTAAGTCCCTGCTTTTCCTGGCTGATCCACTGTAGATGTCACCACATTGTGTGTGTCCATTCACCTGTCAACAGACCCTTGAGTTGCTCCACATCTTTGCTTTTGTGAATAAACTGCAATAAATACAGGTGTACAATACTACCCGAGTCCCTATTTTCAATTCCTTTGTGCATGAACACAGAAGTGGGTTTGCTGGCCAGACATAGAGGTACATGTCTGTAATCCCAGTGACTCGGGAGTCGGAAGCAGGAGGATCACAAGTTGGAGGTCACCCTGGGCCATTAACAAGACCCTGTTCCTCCATTCTATAGCTGTCTTTTTTTGGGGGGCAGGGGTACCGGGGATTGAACTCAGGGGCACTCAACCACCGGGCCACATCCCCAGCTCTATCTTGTATTTTATTTAGAGACAGGGTCTCACTGAGTTGCTTAGCACCTTGCCATTGCCAAGGCTGGCTTTGAACTCGCTATCCTCCTGCCTCAGCCTCCCGAGCTGCTGGAATCACAGGTGTGCGCCACCACGCCCAGCTACGGCTATCTCTTTGCTCTGTTGATAGTGTCCTAGTGTCCTTCCTGTGCATGCACAGGGGCATCTTTCTCCTCATTCAGATCTTTCCTTTCTGCAACAGCACTTGGTGGTTTTCAGTGTGTTTCACTTCACTGATTAAATGTGCCTTTAGGTGTTTTATTCTTGTAGATGCCGTTGTAAATGGAGTTGTTTTCTTTTTTTAAATAAATTTTATTTTAAACTCTTCAGGTTTTTTTAAATTGTAGTTGGACATAATATCTTTATTTTATCTGTTTATTTTTATGTGATGCTAGAGATCCAACCCAGTGCCTCCCACATGCTAGGCGAGAGTGCTCTACTGCTGAGCCACAGCCTAGCCCCTGGAATTTCCTTTTTAGATTGTTCTTGATGGTGCATGGAAATGCAGTGGAGTTGTTCATTGATTTCAAACCCTACAACTTCACTGCATTTTCTTACCAGTTCTAGCAGCTTTTGTGTGGAACTTGGGGGGATTTTTTACGTATGGGCTTCTATCATCTGTAGGTAGACACAGTTTTGCACCTTTCCTCCACAGCTGCCTGGCTGGCCTTCCAGTGTGACAGTGAATGGCAGTGGGGAAGCAGGCCTCTTCCCTGTCTCTGCCACTGAGCTTGATGTTAGCTGTGGGTTTCTCATAAGATCTCTATGACATGGCAAGGTCCCCTTCTACGGTGGAAGGCACCAGCAGTTATTAGCGCCTTTTCTGTGCCCACTGAGAGTGACTGTGGCTTTTCCCTTCTGCTCACACAGCGTGGTCTGCTATTCTGGTGGGTTTCTGATACAAACCACCCCCCGAATCATGCTGGTAAGTCCCACTTGGGTGCTTTGAACTCCCAGTCCTCCTGCCTCAGCCTCCTGAACCTCTGGGATCACAGGCGTGCACCACCACACCCAGGTGGTTAATGTATTTTACTCCTCACATTTAATGTGTCATTCCTGCCAGGTACAGGGCACACACCTGCAATCCTGGTGCCTTGGGACACTGAGGCGAGAGGATCCCAAGTTCAAGGAAGGATAGCCTGGGCAACTTAGCAAGACCCTGTCTCAAAATAAAAAGTCGAACAAAAAAGAGCTGGTGGTACAACGCTCAGTGTACAGCACCCCTGGGTTCAGTCCCCAGGACCACAATATGTAAATGATCACCCCACTTACTTCTGGCCCCTGTGATTGTGACGGGGAATCGGCCATTAATCTCCCTGGAGAGCCCTTGTCTGTGACAGGTCTCTCCTGCTGTTTGAAGGTTCCCTTTGAATTTTGAGAGTTCTGTACTTGAATGTTGGTGGCAAAGGCTTGGTTCCCAGTCAGGTACTGTTGGGAGATGGGGCCTTTTGGGAGGTCCCAGTGTTACTGGAAGCAAGCCCCAAAGGAGCCTGTGGGGTCCTGGCCCCTTCCCTTCTCTCTGCCTTCTGGCCCCAAGGGCCTAGAGGCTCCCCCCCCACACACACACACACACCCCGTGACATGCTGCCTCACCACAGCCCCAAAGCAGCAGGGCCAGTCTGCATTAAGACCTCTGAAACCAGGGGCCCAGATGAATCTTTCCCTTTTATAATCACCTCAGGTATCTTGTGGTGGTGAAGAAAAGCTTGTCACAGCTTTGGTACCGAGGGGTGGGGCAGTCTGGGGGATCGTGATACCTGACACGTGACTTAGGTTTGGGAGAATTTGGAGGAGCAGCCAGAGGAAGCCTGAAGCTGTCTGTGGAACTTTGTGGTGATGGTGGGGGCTGTGGAGCCAGGAGTGCTGGTGGGGGCGGCCCAGGTGGCAAAGGGCGGCATTTCAGGTGGAAATGAGGAACTCAGGAACTGGACCAAAAGCCATCTTGGTTACACTGAGGCCAAACTCCAAGGCGATGGGCAGACCTCAGTATGGGTGTCACCTGCTGCTTTTAGACAAACCAGGGAGGGTCAGGAGTGAAGAGGAAGATTGGGAGATTTGCAGCTTGGATGGGAGAGGAGTGTAGGTCAAGTGCAGCCCAGGACAGTGCAAGGATGCAGGGCCAAAAAAAAAAATCAGCTATTTCTGCACCGAAGCCATACAATAAACCAGGAGTCGCTCAGAAAGGGGGAGATAGGAATCTGCATCCAACTTTCCAGGGCAGTCTGAGAAAGGAGCCTTGGGTGCCTGATGTGCCCAAAGCCACCAGGAATCAGTTTCTCACCAGCACTGAGGCTGCTGCAGTCATGTTTCAGGTGCCTGAGGGTCTGTGTTGGTGCGGGCTTGGTGTTCACGGGATGCTGGATGGCAACATGCCGCATGCAGGGATTACAGGGTCACGAGGCTTCCACTAAGATTTCAAAGAAAGCCTGTTTAGGAAAGCATGGCGTGGGGCTGAGTTCCTGCAAGCAGCCCCAACAGGAGGCCCCAGGGGCAGGAGCCTGCGCCTGACAAGGGAAGCTGCAGGCAGAGGTAAGCCTGCCAGAGACTGGCCTCCAGGGAGCTGGAGTTGGGGGGGTCACACACACCATGCCCCAGCACCTCTGGGTCTCAGACACAGCTCCCTCTAGAAGAGTGGGGAGGTAGCCGTGGAGTCCCAGGGCCCTGCTGTGTGTTCTCCCGCCCTTCCTGATCCCCCCCCCCCCCGCTCTGCACAGCCCACAGCCTGGACCCCCCTTGGCTCCCACCTCCTGTCCGTGCTTGGCCCACCTGCATCTGTGTGGAAGCCCTCCTGGTCCCACCATCCCTCCCTTCTTGGGATCATCTTTGAGGTCTCGTGCACAGCTCTACCGGCAGTCCCAGCAGTGCCCTCAAACGTGGCTCCAGGGAAACCATGTATCTCAAGGAGGCCGGAGCAGGAGGAGGAGCCCCCAGCAGCTGTGACAGCTCCCCATGCCTCCCAGCCCCTGGGCTGTCTCAGCCCTGGTGAGGGGCCGGGCAGAGGCATGAGGGGGTTCCTGGGCACCCCAGAGTGGTCTCCACTCCAAGTGTGGACTCCAGTTCCCACAAGGCCCCCAAGCTCCAGCCGTCAGACAGCTGTGCACACTTGGCTCCCGTTCCCACCACCTGTGTGCTCCTCGAAAACTGCCCCCGTCTGGGTAGTGACCAATCTCAGCACCTTGTTTATTGCAAGTGCCCATCTGTGGAGTGAAGTTGGGGCAGTCTTTCAAGAGCTGATCGCCTCTTGAGAGTGGGCTGGGCTCGTAGTAGGGGTGTGAATAAGAAGGGGAGGTCTGTGATGGGGACAGTCCTGCACCTCGAAGGCACCCTGCAATGACTTGGAGCACCGTACCCACGTCACATTCCTGGTTCACTGCTGTACTGTTGTCATGCAAGACACAAAAGTGTGCCAGGCACACTGTGCAGGCCTGTAATGCCAGAAACTCAGGAGCCAGAGGCAGGAGGATCACAAGTTCAAGGCCAGCCTCAGCATCTTAGCAAGACCCCACCTCAAAAAATAAAAAGGGCTGGGATATAGCTCAGTGAAAGAGCACCCCTGGGTCAATCCCCAGCACCAAAAGACAAAAACAAAGGCACCCAACACGGGGGAAGCTGGGGAAGCACAGGAGACCTCCCTGTCCTTGTACCCATGTGGAGGAGTAATCGAATGATTCTTCTTTTTAGTTCTTCCAAGAATTTACCCAATTAACTGTACTTGTATACAAGGTTTCATAATGGTTCCAGTCATGGCCATGAGGCACAGCCGTGGGCAGGACGGGGGCCTGAGGCTCGTCTCCTGCCCTGGGTCCTCTATTCGCCTGTGCAGCAGCTACAACAAGGTGCTAAGGGACGTGATCTGCTGAGGTTTGCAGTGATACCACCGTGGGGCCAAGCACAGGTGGAAAGGCACAGGCCTGACACGGCCCTCTTGCTCGGGCTGGGCGGACGGGCATGCCCCGTAGGGGTCCAGCTTCCAGACAGGGATGAGTGGGGGCTGCAGGGCTGGGGCCAGTGGCCATGACAGCGCAGGGTACTTCCCACAGTGGAGGGTGGGTGATGCTGGTGAAGATGGAGCCTCGTTCAGAGCGCAGGAGAGGGCCAGAGCACCAAAGGGGGGCTGAGCCAGTGTCCCCAAGATCCTGGAGGAGCCCAAGCGCCAGGATCTGTCAAAAGCTGCAGGTAGGCAGGGCAAGAGCTGCACTCCTGACCCAGCTGATTGTGAGCAACCACCCAGGGGGTCCCCAGCACTGGCCTCACTGGTTCCTGGGGGGAAGCACTCAATCTGCAGCCACAGCCCTATAGACATGACCAAGAGCAAGGGAGGGGTCAGTGTGCAGCCCAGCTAACTCAGAGCCTTTGCTGTGGACAGCCAGACCTCCTGTCGGCCTCCATGTGGCATGCAGGGTGAGGACCCCAGCCTCGCCCATTACTGATTCAGCTGCCAAGGAGGGAAGGGACAGCCCCTTAACAAGCCCCTTTGGGGCAATAAGACCTGTCAGCTCATTCCATTTCCCCATCTGAAGTCTCAACAGTGCCTCAGCCACAGCCAGTGTGCCTTCCCCATCTCTGCCGCCTACATGTCAGTCAGAGTGGCTTCCAGAGAGACAGGGTCATCCCCATCACTGGGCTCTCCAGATGCACACATCCCTCCTACCCCACCTGACGCCTCTTTTCAGTATCATTCTCCAAGGTCCTGAAACCCTTGGCCTCCCAGCCAGATCCCAGTGCCAGAAACGAAGCCAAAAGCCCATGGCAGGCTGGTGGTCACTTGTGTCTACAGGTGATGGAGGAGGGGGCATCTCATTCAGTGGAGGAGCATCTTCCCTTCTGGGTTCTGCAGGCTGAAGGTGCACAGCAGTCTGCATTCCAAGGGGTCGCAGGACACGGCTGCGTCTCCACCCAAGGGCTTCCGTGCTGTAGGCCTGGGAGAGTCACATCTCCTGCAGCCGCAGAACCCTGGCCTGCTCCTCATCCAGGATGAACGGGGACTGCAGCTCCCGGCCTTGCAGGTACATTTCCAAACCCTGAAACAATTAGATCACAATGTCCAGCATCCACCTCTCAGCTGCCCATTTCTGCCTGGAGCCAGGGAGGGTCAGCAGAGAGCTAGTGTCCCCGCTCAGTGAGTGACTGGCCTGAGACTCAGACCTTGGTCATTCCTCCACAAAGGCCTCTGGACACCTTCCCCCACCTATACCCCAAAAGGTCCTCTTTAAGGAAACTTTTACCTCACTGATAAACTGAGGCAGGGCTGTGACTTGCCCCCTCTGCACCCAGCTTCCCCAGAGCCTTCCTCTGGCTCACGCCACCAGACCCCAGAAAAGCCCCAGACAGGAATGGGCAGCTCTCACCTCTCCAGAGTAAGACACCAAGGGCGATATCTCACAGATGGCCGGAGGGTCTCCATCTGGGGGTAAGCTGGGGGAAGTCCATGGGTTAGTATCTGCCTCCTGTGCATGCCCTGGACCCCCCCAGCATCCCATGTGCGGAGCATGCCCTGGACGCCCCCCAGCACCCCATGTGCAGAGCATGCCCTGGACGCCCCCCAGCATCCCTTGGCAGCCGAGCTCCACACACAGGCCCCCTTCCCAGCACTCTGCCTCTGTGCACTCAGCCGTCCCAAGGCACAGGCTCTGGCCTGGGCTAGAATATAGCCCACACAGCCCAGACAGCCAGGTCTCGCTCAGCTGCAGATAGCTGGGGAATCAGAAGCCAAATGTCCTTTCCTTTCCAGTCCTGAGTCGGAGAACCTGATGTCTTCTGACAGCTCTGCCTGGGTCTTCCTCAAAGCTTGTAAGTTCAGAGTCTAAGCCCCCTGCCCAGCAGAACTCAAGGGTGAGACAGAGTGCAGGCTGACTCTCTGGGTGTGTGACCAGCAGCGTGTGGTAGGGTGCTAGAGCAAAAGCCCCCCCAACCGGGACAGTGGCCGGGCCCTGGCCCCTCCAGGCCACACCCCAGGGCAGGCTCACCAGGACAGTGCAGGAAGCTGGGCCCCGTGTGCATCCAGGAAGCGGGCCCCGGCCTGCAGAGCCCACCGGTAGTGCTGAGCAAGCAGGGCACGCCTGGCGGTGGAAGGGTTGTCCCGGCTGGCTGCCTCAGCATTCTTCAGCGGGGAAAACTCCTCCTCCCGAAGCACTTCAAAGGCAACAAAGTTCCTGGTGGGGAGAAGGGCTGGTCATCCTGGGCCCAGCCAGTAGCCCTGGTCTGGGCAGGCAAGGCGGGCCCTGTTCTCAGGGAGTCTGTTCCCAAGAGCAGCAGATCCAGGGAGGGTCTTCCCTCCAAGTCAGCTTCCTCCCACTGCCTCTGCCCAAAGCCTGGAGCCAGCCAGGATGAGGCTCAAGGGCACTGGGAGCCACCAGCCACCTGCTGATACTCCTGAGTAGGAAGGGCGAGGGCAGTGGACATCCAGGAGGGGCACCCGTGTCTCCCCACCAGCCAGCTGCCCAGATGTCCCCTTTTCCCCACCCTGGGCCACTTCCTCAAGAAAGGAATGCTCTCTGGCCTTCTCCCCAGACCTGTCCACAGCCTCCCAGTCCCTTGGCCCCTCACCGAGCCTCCACTTCCCTACCTGGATGGGCCTCAGGATCCACCACCAAAAAAGAGTCAAGAAGGAAAAAATAATGACTTCTACCACGAACCTAGCAAATGGGAACACATCAAACACGAACTTCTCCATCTTGATGCCGTTTGGCTTCAGCGGCATCACCAGGTTTCCCCCCTCATCCACATAGGGAACCTTCTTCACAGCCACGTGTGGCTGTAGCAGGGGCTCACAGTCCCTGGGGGGAAGGAGGATAGGGAGGAGTCAGACAGGACACCTCTGGGATCCCTGTCCCCACCTCTTGGTGCACCTGGTCAGGCAGGGCAGGCTGGTAATAGGGCGCCCAGGCACAGGTGAGGAGGCCCAGCCAGATCTCTGAGGAGGGCACAGTTCCCCGCCACCCCACACCCCCAGCCACACCCCTGCCCAGGCTAATGGAAACCAGCAAGTCATAGGGAAGAGATGGTGTCTGAGGGCAAGGAGGCCCACAAGCAGAAGACAGACTTGACACAGAGCCCCACACAGGTCGCCCACAGAATGCAGCCCAGGGTGGATCTCCTGGGTCCTGGGCTTAAAAACAGGAACTTTTTCCACCTAACCCCACAGCCCCAGTGGCCGTGGCCCTGGCCCATCTGGCATGCTGGCCCTTGGTCATGGTAGGCAGCTCTCGCTGGGCTTCCACAGCCTCCTGCTGGCTACCTGGTGATGGTCTGGAGGAAGTCGCGGGTGAAGAAGTGATTGCAGATGTTGCCTGCATTGTAAATCAGTCCACCATCGGTGCCACGCAGATGGGCAACCTCAGGGTTGATCTCACTGTACTCCACCACTTGGGGGACCCCGTCCAGCTGGCACACCACGCCCACAGGTTCCTCAGGGTACGCCTTTTCCACCACCTGCAGTCACAAGGGATGGGCTCAGCACTGGGTGAGGCCGGGCTGAATGTGAGGGGTTTGGTGGAGGGGCAGGGCTTGGCGCTCACCTTGGCCCCACAGTCGGCACCCTGCAGCACACAGAAGCCAATAAAGACAGGGTCAGCCAGTCGCACCAGGATGTTGTCCACACAGTACACATGCACAAACTCCACTCCCCGAAGCTCCATGTCCTCCAGGATACGGTGGTCCTCTAGAGCACAG